TATTAACATCAACTGGAAAAATATATTCTGGATGTAATATTGAAAATGCATCATATCCATTATCAACTTGTGCTGAACGTACAGTAGTTGTTAAAGCTGTATCTGAAGGTGAAAAATCTTTTCAAAAAATTGTAATTACATCGTAAGTTTACCTTTAAAAAGGAAGAAAAAACGTTGTCATCATATAATTATTTTTTGTTTAGTGATGTTGAATTAGGTTTTACTGGTCCATGTGGTTCATGTCGACAAACATTAGCTGAATTTGGTCTTGATTTAGATGTTTATCTTATAAATATAAAAAGTGAATCAAAAATGTATAAACTTCGAGATTTATTACCCGTAGCCTTTATACCACATGATCTTGAAAAATCTCGTGCAAATCATTATGTTATTGAATAATTTTTTGTTTTAATAAATTTGATAGACAATTATTTAGAAATCTTGTTTTTTATTCTTTTCTATTATATTATTTTTGCATTTTCAGAAATGTTTGATTCAGAATCAGAATTAGGATTACAAAAAGAAGAATCACTTCATAATTTTTCTTCGACACCAACTCAACGTAATCATAGTAAGAATTTTTAATAAATTAATTTTTAATATTAATTTTTTTTATGTATCTCTAGCTACATGTGCTCTTGGTCATATAATTGATTATACAAAACCAGATATAACTATATTATGTGATATATGTAAATGTTTTTTAAATGTTAGTGAATTAAAAACACATACAACTTATCATAATGCATTAAAATTATTTAAACTCAAAGTAAAAAAAAAACAACAGAACCTAATTTTTTTTTTTTTTTTTGAATAAATATTTTATATAAAAAAAAAGGAAACACCAAATAGAATAGATGTAATACTTAAACGTCGAGATTTACTTATACAACGTATGCAACGTTTAAAAATATCCGAAGAATCTTATTTGAAATATGTTAAAAGTATAAATGATGCATTTCAAATAATAAAACAAACTATTGAACCTTATTATTATGGAGATAATTCATGTATATATGATAATCGTGAAGCATCCAATGTACAAGGTTATTTTTTATTTTTGCTTATAAAAAATATCGATTTATAGATAATAACTATAATTATTTAAGGTATAAGTTTTACACCACGTAATCGAATGTTTCTTAGTATTGGTATGTGTACTAATCAAAATAAACAATTTAAACTTGATATGGAAGATACAATGAAATTTATTGATTGTTTCGGTATGAAAAATGAAAAAAA